GCAGAGACTCTGCTCCTGCCTGGATGAGGAGCAACCACTGAATCACAGGATGGTTCAAGTCGGAAGAGACCTTTTAAAGGTCACCAAGTGACCTTGAGCAATGAAGGTGCCTGAGTTCAAATTATTCCCTTTGGGAACAGCTGTGGGAGGGTCTCTGTGAGCCAGGAATATCAGCTGCACCACCCCACATCCTCTGCAGGGCTCAGACACAAGCAGAACCAAACTCCTGAGCTCTGGGACTGGTCAAGACCATTGTCCACAGAGATGCAGCTCCAACAGCTCCCAGTTGTTTGCTCACCCTGTTTAACCAGGAGCAATAAACCCCACAATGGCCAGTTGGTGTCTAAACAACAGCTCAGCTCTGGGACCACCACATCCCAAAGGCATTCCAGAGGCATGATTTCTGCTCACCTGGATAGGCACCTCCATCCTTTGGAGGAATGAGCCAGCTGAGAGGGCTGCCAAGAAAACCTTTCCTTTGCCACTGGTTAGAAACTGAATTCTTGACCATTTTAATCTGTTCTGCGTTGGTAGGTCTTGCTCTGCACCCCTAATTACTGCTTGGGAGCAGAGCCTGACCCTTCCCAGCTCTCCCCTCCTGTCAGGGAGTTGCAGAGCCAGAAGGTCCCCCCGAGCCTCCTTTTCTCCAGGCTGAGCCCCCCCAGCTCCCTCAGCTGCTCCTGCTGCTCCAGCCCCTTCCCCAGCTCCCTTCCCTTCCCTGGACATGCCCCAACCCCTCAATGTCTTGTCTGACATCTGACCCCTAATTAATTAGGATTGCACCTAAAATAGTCCAGCTCGGGTTTGCTAATCCAAAAGGAATGTGGAGGAACTGGAGAGGACCTGGTGAAAGGATGTAGTGATGGAGCAAAAGTCTGTGATCTGCCAGGAGAGTTCAGGGAGATGGGTTTGTTTTAGTCTGGAAAAGAGGCTGAGGGAAAATCTGATGGGAGCAGAAAGTGTGCATGGAGAACTCATTGGCTGGAAAACTGCTTGGCAGAAAAGGATCTGGGGGTGCTGATCAACAGCAGCTGAACACGAGCCCAGGTGGCCAAGAAGGCCAAGGGCACCTGGCTTGGATCACCACTAGTGTGGCCACAGGACCAGGGCAGTGACTGTCCCCTGTGCTGGGCACTGCTGAGGCCACACCTCAAATCCTGAGGCAGTTCTGGGCCCCTCAGACAAGACATTGAGGGGTTGGGGCATGTCCAGGGAAGGGAAGGGAGCTGGGGAAGGGGCTGAAGCAGCAGGAGCAGCTGAGGGAGCTGGGGGGGCTCAGCCTGGAGAAAAGGAGGCTCAGGGGGGACCTTCTGGCTCTGCAACTCCCTGACAGGAGGGGGGAGCCAGGGGGGTTTGGGCTCTGCTCCCAAGTAATTAGCAACAGGGTGAGAGGAAACAGCCTCAAATTGCGCCAGAGGAGGTTTAGATTGGTCATTAGAAAAAATGCCTTGCTCAAAAGGGTGGTCAGGCATTGGAACAGGCTGCCCAGGGAAGTGTTGGAATAACCATCCCCAGAAGGGTTCCAGAGGTGTGTGGACGTGGCACTTGGGGACATGGGTTAGGGGTGGACACAGTGCTGAGGTAACAGGTGGACTCGATGATCCCAGAGGTCTTTTCCAACCCTAACAATTCCCTGATTCTGTGATTGCAGCTTGGGAGGCTCAGGCTGGGCACCGGATAAAAACATGGCTGGGAGGAAAGGGAAGCTCTGGAGAGTGTCACACAGACTGGGGTCTCTCCATCCCCAGAGACTGTCACATCTTGGCTGGGCAAAGCCACAGCTGATGGGAACCAGTGTTGGTGTCAGCCCTGCCTTGAGCCAAAGGCTGGACTAGATGTCCCTTCCAACAACCATCTCTCTGATTTACTGTCCCTTCCAACCACATCTCTGTGATTTCATGAACCTGTGATTTAATGTCCCTTCCAACCAGCACCTCTGTGACTTTACAAGCCTGTGACACGCTGTGATTTAGGGCTCTGGATGCTGCTCAGCTACTTCACAACAGCCTTAAATTAACACGGTATTAAAATAAATCCCACCAACAACGCTAAATCAAGTTGATCTCCCTGCAGGTTCTCTCGCTCCAAATGGAACATTAACGTAATTTAGGAAGAGCAGGAAGGATTCACGGAGTACTTTGAGGATATTTTTATCGTTTCACACCCACAATGTCTGTCCTGTGGCTGTGAAATGCAGACCTTGCCACATGTTCCACAACCAGCCTTGTGGTGGGGAGGGAATTCACCTTCTGTTGGGATGGTGCTGACCTGCAGCACATCACATTTATGGCTTATGATGCCATCTGAGGGGATTGCTTGTCCTTTCAAGATCTTGTTCCCATTTGGAAGGTGACCTCAGAGCCTCAGAAGGAAATGAAGCAGCATAATTACACATAGGTTGTTATTTAAAGATGTCTCAGCTATTTAAAAAACCCGAAAAAACCTTTTTCCCCCCCACTTATCAGGATTCTGACTTAATGAACTTCTAAGTGACGTGTTTCTAACATGTCTCTGAGAGAGTTACAATAACCTGACACCACCAGTGCCTTCCCCAAGCAGGAATCAAATTTTGTTGTGGGTAGGACAAATGTGTTGTTGTTCCTGTGTCTGAAGGGAATTATTTTTTTCTGATGGTTGAGACACATCAGCCCCTAAAAAAGACCCAAAAATGCCTTTTACTGGAGACTTACATGACTATGTCTCCCCATCCCTGGAAGCATCCAAGGCCAGGTTGGACAGGGCTTGGAGCAACCTGGGCTAGTGGAAGGTGTCCCTGGCTATGACAGGGAGGGTTGGAACTGAATGATCATTAAGATCCCTTCCAATCCAAACCATTCTGGGATTCCATGATTCCACATGGGTGTGGAGTGGTACGACATGCAGCTGGGAGCACCGACCTCCCCTGGAGGCTCTCAGCCCTGCCTTCATTCCCACCCTTGGGAGATTCTACCCTCTGGATGACTTCCAGCCACTTCTAGGCATTAATTGTGGCAACAAGGCCACAGATGTCTTGACTGGAGGTGGCCTGTGTGGTGGGGATGATGTTGCCAAGGCTCAGTTTTATGGGAGTTTTGCCTTTTCGTGGAATCATGGAACGGTTTGGGTTGGAAGGGGTCTTAAAAATCACCTCATTCCAACCCCCTGCCATGGGCAGGGACACCTTCCACTAGCCCAGGTTGTTCCAAACCCCGCCCAACTTGACCTGGAACACTCCCAGGGATGGAGTGTCAACAGCTTGTGCTGAGTCCTTCTCACCTGCCACCACCAACCAACCACGTGGATCTTGATGTGTCTTCATGACAAAGGAGTTAAGTGAGTGAGACTGGGAGGGAAATTAGGTTTTAATTTGATCACCTCTGGTCATTGGAAAGCTCAGTGAGTTGTTTCTGGTGGCTGAGCTGATCTGATGTCGGGGGATGATGCTCATCACAGAGGGGACGGGCAAACACATGGTCACGACACCTCTTGTGTTGAATTTGGTCAGCCCACGGTTCTTTCTCATTCTTCCCTCTGATAAATATTTTACAATGTGCCAGGGCAAAGCACAGTGGTTTTGCTGGATATTTTAATCAGAAAAAAAATAAAAAAGAAAAAGAAAGATGTTTTATCCTGTAAACTGAATTTATTTGGTTGTTTCAGTCACAAACAGAAAAAATCCAAACTTTTTTTCTTGAAAAAAAAATATCAAAATGCTGCACTTTTAATTCAAACTGATATTTCACTGTCAGCCTCAATCTCAGTAAAAGTCAAAAAGGAAACATCCTGAAAATGAAATATTTTGTTCATCTCAAGACCATTTTTGTCCAGGAAAGCCTAGAAACAGCAACAGTGGGCTGTGATCAAAGAGTTTAATCACAATGAGATTTTAAAGGCGGGGGTATAACTGTTCTCAGCCCCTGCTTTGACAGTCTTGAGTAGTTAAAATTCAGTGTTCAGTTTTGTTGAGACCCCATTGCCTTTTAAGACTGACTTAAAAATTTAAATCCTTAATAAATTAATGATTGCAAATGGAGTCATCCATTGCTGCCTGGTCAAGTGCAAGGTGCCCAAATCCATCGATGTACTGAGGAATCACAGCCTTAAGTTGGTTAATTATGGGACCTGCTGCTGCTTTAGACACTCTTGGGTACATGGGCAAGGAAGGAAAAGGGCTTTGAGGGTATCTTTGACCCAGGTTAATTTGCAGCTCTTCCCCCTGGGTTGTGTCTCTCCATCCATCACCGCCTGGGAAGAAAATCAATCCTTTTTGTGGCAGTGAGGATATTCAATAATGCAAAAGGTCAGGGTGGAGGTGTCTTCAGTGAGGGATGGGCTGGGGCTTTGCCTTTTAAAACCTGCACATTCCTGTTTCATTTGGCAGAGCAGCAGCTGAGGCATCTCCTGGAAACCCACACACCTTCCTCAGCATGGTGTGAGGGTCAATAAACCTCTGGTGTGAGGGTCAGTAAACCTCTGGTGTGAGGGTCAGTAAACCTCTGGTGTGAGGGTCAATAAACCTCTGGTGTGAGGGTCAATAAACCTCTGGTGTGAGGGTCAATAAATCACTGGTGTGAGGACTCTCTCCCACTGGAATCCACTCTGTTTATCCACAGTCTTGACCAGGAGGGACTGATTGCCCAGGGAGGTTGTGGATTCCCCACCTCTGGAGGTGTTCAACACGTCTTGGAGCAACTTGGTCTAGTGGAAGGTGTCCCTTCCCTTGGCAGGGGGTTGGAACTGGATGGTTTTTAAGGTCCCTTTCAACCAAACCCATCCCAGGATTCCATGGTTTCCCAGCTCACAGAGTGCTGTTTGCTGTTTGCACTGGAACAGGTTGTGGTGTGATGGATTCAGGGATTTATGCACAACCAAAAGACCAAAGGCCTCTCCTGAGAGCAACTTAGGTGGTTGTGAAGGGCTCAGTTTAAAGGATCTCAGCTGTCAGCTGTGACATGACACAAGGTTACAAACCAAGCCAGGCAGGCCCCAAAGGTTTTAACTGGCCTGTGGATGCTGAAAGCAGCAGCAACTTTGGAGGACAAACCATTCCTGCCAAGGATCAGTGGCCACAGCCACTGAAGACACACTGAGCACTGCTGGTGAGAGCATTTGTAAACTCAGTTTTACTGAGTCTGGCTCACAGAGGAAAGGGAAATGGTCCCATGTGGCCAAACTTTGGCTGGTGGGAGAGTTGGTCACTGTTTGAAACACTAGAAGAGAGCTGAGGATATAAATGTGGTACAGATGGAAGGGAAGCTGAAGCTTGAGGAACATCAAAAGAGGAGCTGGAGTCAGGTTAGGAGACACATATTGAGGTGCCTGAGCAGCAGGACTGATTTCAGAGCACCTTTGAGAAGTCAGCTCCTTTCTTTAGGTACCCAGGTAGGATTTGGGGACACTAAGACTCATCTTACTGAACCCAGCTCACAACATTACTCAACTGGACAATGTTTTTCCAATTTGAAGACTGAAAGGGTTCCCATTTTGGAGTGACCAACTCAGGTGTCAGTGGAGAGTCCCAAAAGCCAAAGGGACTGAGAGGTTTTGACACAGTGAAAGGACCTGTGTTCAATCCCTGCTCCCTAGGAATTCCCTGTGTGACTCCAGACAGGTCACTCAGGGCTGTGCTGGGTCAGGCAGGCACAGAGATCACGTGTCATGGCCATCCAGTGTCTCTGAGCTCATGGAAGTGAATTGGAGCATCTGCTCTCCAGCTCAGATTCCTTTGAGACACACAGATCTGACACCAACATAAAGCTCTTGTGGTCCACACTCAGGTTACAGAGATTTCTCCCTCTGTCCATGTCTTGTTTCCTCCTACATAAAGCAGCTGCAGAACCTTTCCATTGAACTCTTCCCTGTCAAAGAAAAGTTCAGTGAGAAAATGCCTGTTCTGATGAAATTCCACTCAAACCCATTAGAGAGCCTTTTGAAACTTCCAGTAAGAGAAAAGAGAAGTTGAAGTTTTGATACAACATTCCTTTTTTTATTCCTCTGGGAACATTTGAACAACCCTCAGTAGAATTTATTTAAAAAACCCAAAAACTAAGAAACAAACCACCTCTTTTTTTTTTCTTCTGTTGTGGCACAGCAATATTTTTGCAGGAACATCTGAACAGAAAGGAATAATCTGGTCTCCAGGCTGATATTCCTTTCTTCCATACTTCAAAGCAGGATTTTCAGGAGTGCCTCTGGACTGGATGAACTCAGGTGGGTGAGTTTTTATGACGTGGGCCATATTTGCCCAGACAGAGGCCACACTTTATGGCTGCAGCTCTGCAATCACAGATTGGCAGAGTTTCATTGCCCGAGTGCTCGAGGGCAAAATCCAGAGCTGTTGTGTCAGCAGATGTGGTGGGGAACAGCCCCTGCACAGCCAGACCTTCTTCCCAGGGGAGCATCCAGTTGTTCCTGCATTAAAATGGCTCTTGTTTCCACCAGCAACTTTACTTGGGCAGATGGAGATGGGACAAGGGGGAATTGTTTTAAACTCAAAGAGGACATATTTAGATCAGATGTTTGGAAGAAATTCTTGGCTGTGAGGGTGAGGAGGCCCTGGCAGAGGTTGCCCAGAGAAGCTGCAGCTGCCCTTGGATCCCTGGAAGTGTCCAAAATCAGGTTGGAGCAACCTGGGATGGTGGGAGGTGTCCCTGCCCACGGCAGGGGTGTGGAACTGGATGATCCTTTTAATCCAATCCAAACCATTCTGTGATTCTATGAACTTTCCATTCTAGCACTAGCAAGGCATGTAGATCCACTGGAGGGAATTCATTCCACAGCTAAAGTAGCTCTTTCCTGATTTTCACCAGGTTAGGACTTCAGTTGTGGTTTCCTTTAACCCATGAGAATCAAGTTAAGCTGGAATTTTTTAAGGAAACCCTCCTCATTGAATTTATTCTCTCCCTTTTTATTGTTTCATATAAAATCTGCCTTTGCCACAACCCTCCCCAGCAGAGGAGTAATTACATTTATTGGAAATGCTTCCTGATCACTTATTCATTTACCAGCTGCTAAAGTAAAATGAACTGGGCAAAGTGCCACTGGAGAGTTGGATTCATAAGCAGGGGAAGGCAAATGAAAGAACTGCTCAGTGTGCAGTTACTTTCCCTCTCCAGCAATTCATTATCCTGCTGTTCAGCTGATTTAGGAAGTCAGGATGGCAGCATGTGATACATTTCAGCATGAGCATAACTTTGGGGTTGCCAGATTTACCTTTTACTGTGCTGTAAAGGGCACTAAAAATACCCTAACTTTGTATACTAAATGTGAAGTAATAAATAATAACAGAAACACCATATTCTTATTTCTTGGTTACCCTCAGTCGCTCCCATTAGTGTTGTCACTGACCTATTTGCATCTTTCCTGCCCTCCTTTCTCCCTCCCACTCTCCCAGTATCTGTTTTCTGGAGCCCACAATCAGCCTGGAAAACAACCAGCCCCAAACCAGCCCATTCAGAAACCCCTCAAAGCACAGAGACACCACAGACACCCTCAAACCCACCAACCACCCCAAACCCACCAAAGTCCTGTGAAAGGCTGCTGAGGCCACGTGACCTGTGGAGGCCACAACATTCCATTGCACATGGACAATTTGTGGGACCCACCTCGCTGGCCTGGAAGGGAAATCCCCTCAAGTGCTCGTGTGGGGAACAGATCTCACCTTCAAAATGAGCTGCCTGAATATCAGAGAAACCCACAATGGCTTGGGTTGGGAGGGACCTTAAAGATCATCCAGTTCCACCCCCTGCCATGGGCAGGGACACCTTCCACTAGCCCAGGTTGCTCCAAGCCCCATCCAACCTGGCCTTGGACACTTCCAGGGATGGGGCAGCCACAGTTTCTCTGGGCAACCTGTGCCAGGGCATCAACACCCTCACAGGGAAGAACTCCTTCCCAATATTCCATCTATCCCTGCTCTCTGTCAGTTTGAAGCCATTCCTTGTGTCCTGTCCCTCCATCCCTTGTCCAAAGTCCCTCTCCAGCTCTCCTGGAGCCCCTTTAGGTCCTGGAAGGGGCTCCCAGGTTTCCCTGGATCCTTCTCTTCTCCAGGTGAACCCCCCCAGCTCTCCCAGCCTGGCTCCAGAGCAGAGGGTCTCTCCAACCCCCCTTCACTGCAATGAAAAGCAGGAAGACCCAAGAGCAGGAAAGTCTGAGACATCCACATGTGTGTCTGTGTTTTAGCAAACCAAACTCTGCCAGAGCAGTGACAGAAAAACATCAAGAAACCAACCTCACATAACAACATGCCCTGAAAGAAGATTTCACTGGAAGATCCCCAAGTGCCCAAATGTCCCCTCCATCCATGAGATGTCACATGGACCAGTGCAGGCTCAGGAGCCCCATGTTGGTATCCAACAGCTTGTTGTTGGTACCCATGAGAAATCCATTAGTACAAGACTACCCAAATCCAGCAAGTCCTGGATAAACCAGAAAGAGAAAGATTTCATTCCATGTACTGCCAGAAACTCCAGGAAGATGAAAAATAAACCAGCCAGAATGAGCCAGATAAACAGAATAACACAGGCAGGAACCCTCTGGTGTCCAGAAGAGAATATTTTTCCAGGTTTCACCCTTTTGTCTCTGATCACTCAGTCTTCACCCCCAGGAAACACCTATAAAATCTGTTCAAACATGAGCCTTTAAAATAAAATAGATAAATCCATGAGATGTGGAAAATCAATAGACATGATTTTATGGTATATTACATATTCCCCTCCCCGTGCTTCATCTTATTCCCCTCAGGCAGTGGCAGGCCATAAATAAATTATTAATTCTATTCCCACTATTTCCCCATCCCATCATTTTGTGTCTCATGAGGTCTAATAAGCTTCTGGCCTTACCTGAGGTCTGCAGGTGCAAATTACCTGTTACTTTCAAGTTGCCTAAATGATGGAATTAGGTTTGGAGCATTTCCTCACATTTTATATTTACCTTCAGTATTTATGCTTTGATTTCAGCCTGAAAAGGGTTGAAAGCAGATGATCCTTAAGGTCCCTTCCGACCCAAACCATTCTGTGATTCTGTGACACCTCCAAAGACCAAGGGAGACGCCTCTGATTTCAAATTTAAAAGTTGCTTGTTTGTCTTCCTATCATTTTCCATCTCAGGTGTGGATTCACTGGTTTTATATCCAGAAATGTAGTCAAAACCTGTCAGTGTGAAAATGGGTTATTAGACTCATAAAATGCAAGCAGAGTGTGATAGCACACACCCCAGACAAGCAGACACGGGCACCGGGATGATAAAGGCTTGAATTACTTGAAGAGAGCTTAACATAATTGCTGGTTTTCTTCTGCAGAGAGATTCATATACAAAGCACACAAAAGCAGTGCTTAAAAAGAAATGATTTGTGGCATAAGTGGTGTGATAAACATCTGAATATTAATGAGAGAGCCATGGAAACGTGTGTCTTGGAGGGTTTGTTTGCCCTGAGTTGTGCACGGTGAGACTCAGTTGTCTGAACATCCCTGTCTGGTGTTATCAGAGGGTCTCCTGTTTGTTCTCACAGTACCAGCCCAGGAGGGTTTGGGTCTCCTGTAGGTTGTGTTCCCGTCCTGCGTGGACATCTCAGATATCCCAACACTGAAGTAAAGAATCAGAGAATCACAGAATGCCTTGGGCTGGAATGGACCCCAAAGTTCATCTTGTTCCAAACCTGCCATGGCAGGGACACCTTCCACTAGCCCAGGTTGCTCCAAGCCCCATCCAGCCTGGCCTGGGACACTTCCAGGGATGGGGCAGCCAAAGCTTCTCTGGGCAACCTGTGCCAGGGCCTCACCACCCTCACAGCCAAGAATTCCTTCCCAATATCCCATCTAACCCCGCCCTCTGGCAGTGGGAAGCCATTCCCTGTATTCCTGTCCCTCCATCCCTTGTCCAAATCCCTCTCCAGCTCTCCTGGAGCCCCTTTAGGCACTGGAAGGGACTCTCAGGTCTCTCTGAAGCCTTCTCTTCTCCAGGTGAGCCCCCCCAGCTCTCCCAGCCTGGCTCCAGAGCAGAGGGGCTCCAGCCCTGGGAGCATCCCCGTGGCCTCCTCTGGACCTGCTCCAGCAGCTCCACATCTTTCCTATGTTTGGAGCCCCAGAGCTGGAGGCAGCACTGCAGGTGGGGTCCCACCAGGACAGAGCAGAGGGACAGAACCCCTTCCCTTGCCCTGCTGCCCACTCTGCTTTTGGTGCAGCCCAGGACACGTTTGGCTTCCTGGCCTGCAAGAGCACAGTGATGGGTCTTGTCAAGATTCTCGTCCACCAGCATTCCCAAGTCCTCCTCCTCATATAAAATGCCCACTTTTCTCACATGTATGTGGCACTAAGTGTCTTGCAGAAGTTTGCCTTCCTCCAAGGTTTCCTGTAGTAACATTAAAAATCATTTCCCGCTTTGTTCTGGACTCAAAGCTGTGGCTTTGCTGCCCCAGTGTCCTCACCACCACAGCAACGGTGTGAAAAACCTCACATCCTTTGGGGCCTTGAGTTGGCCTCATCCTCCTGTGCTCCTGTGTGATTTATATGCACTTATGTGGTTTATTTCTCGAACCACTGGGTGCAAAAATGCATCTCCCACAAAACACAGAGCTTGTTTTCTCCCAGGAGTGCTGGACATCAGGGAGCACCCACACAGCTGGTGGGATTGGCAGTGGGGTTAATGCTGCCCAGTTCCACTGGGATCAGCTGAATGGGGCTGTTTCATCAGCTGCTTTCCCACTTTACACAGAATTATTTGGTCTAGTCTGCCACCACGGTCTAAAGCCAGTCCAGCCCAGTTGTGGCTTGTCCTCTGTGAGTGAAGTTATTTCTTTAGCTATTTCTTCTTGCTACATTTAGGTTTTACCTTGGATTTCTTTTACCAGGATCAATTTACCATCTTACAAGTCACTGGAGGCAGCTGCAGCCTGGTTTGAGTGGGAGGATCAGGTGACAGTGGGATCATCCCTCATTACATCAGCTATCAGGGAACAAAGATTCAATGGCCTTGGCCTGCTGAGTCTGCATCTACCCACACTCTTGCACAATTCCAAGATCTGAAGCTTTAGGAAAACCACAAGTACCACAAGGCTGACACATATCCATGAGCTGGCAGCAGTGTGAAGATGGACCTTGTGATAATGTTAATTCTTTGCACCTCTGGGTTTGTACTGGGAGATAAAGAGACTCATGGAATGGTTGAGGTTGGAAAGAACCCCTGGATCTGCTCAAGCAGGGCCACCTAGACCAGGTTGCCCAGGCCCATGTCCCCCCTCAACAAGATGAATTTCCTTTCCAACTACAACTTTTGCCTCTAGACCTTGGCTGAATCCTTTAAAGATAGAAATGAAACCCATTTATCTTTCCAGGGAGGGGGTTGCCAGGAGCACCAGTGCATTATCTTTCACATGGGGGATTTGGTTTGTTTTGATCTAAGTTATGTCTATGATCATTTTAAGAGACTGCAAATTGGCTGTAGGAAACAAAGCAGACAGTCAGGTTGTAATGAAGTGCCTTCCATCCCGCTGAAATTGTATTCAGTCTCAAGTATCCCCCTCATCTATTAAGTATTGATTTGAGGGGAGAGCATATAACAAAACTGCCAGCTGGTTTGGCCAGCCCAGACCCTGAGCAGCTCCTTGGAAATCGATGAAATCCCATCGATCCCGAAATGCAGCAATTAAATGAGTTAATGGATGAGGACTCGGGGGAGAAAGGAATGGCAGTGATACAACAGGGCTGGGAAGCTGCAAAAGAGGTGAACTCAACAGCTTCACTCTGGGTGGACCACGAGGGTGCTCGGGCACATATTTGTTTGGGTGTGGCTGCTGGTTGAATGTGGGTGACTGGGTGTGCAGGTGGGTGGGTGTGCCCTGGGTGTGGCCAGGAACGGTGGCATGAGGAGATCTGTAAAAACTTTCCATCAGGTGGACAGAAATGGTTCTTTAGGCTGCCAAAGAAAAGGGCCAGAGGTCGAGCTCAGGTGCCAAAGGCTGGATTGTCCTCACTTCTCAACTGTTTGTTCTGCTGCGGGCTGTGCTTTGGACACCTCCAGCTGCACCTTTCCAAGACTGAGGAATGGAGGCCAGCAGGTGGATGGAAGGAATTCTGTCCCTCTACTGTGCTCTGGTGAGAGCCCACCTGCAGTGCTGCCTCCAGCTCTGGAGCTCCCAACGTGAGAAGGATGTGGGACTGCTGGAGAGAGTCCAGAGGAGGCCCTGGAGCTGCTCCGAGGGCTGGAGCCCCTCTGCTCTGGAGCCAGGCTGGGAGAGCTGGGGGGGTTCACCTGGAAAGAAAAAGCTCCAGGAGGGTGTCATTGCAGCCTTTTGGTACTTGCAGGAGACCATAAGAAACATGGGGACAAACTTTTCAGCAGGGAATGTTGTGACAGGGGTGATGGCTTTAGGTTAAAAGAAGGTTGATGTAGATTAGATGTAAGGAAGAAGTTCTTTTTCAATCAGGATGGTAAAACACTGGCACAGGTTGCCCAGAGAAGCTGCCCCATCCCTGGAAGTGTTCAAGGCCAGGTTGGATGGGGCTGGGAACAACCTGGGATAGGGGAAGGTGTGGCTGTCCACGGCAGGGCTTTGGACTAGAAGACCTTTAAAGGTCCCTTCCAACCTTGTCTTCCAGTGCCACCTGAGCAGACTGGTACCCTCCAACAGCCTTTTGTGTCCTCACATCCCAGCCCAGGGCATTAACCCCAATCCCTCACCTTCCTGCCATGAAAACTCCATCTGTGTCTGAGCATCCCCTTCCTCCCCTCTCATATCACTTCCTTGCCTCGACTTCCTGCCCATAGGAATGGTTGTGTAGTAAGGATGTAGCTGTCAGAGGAGCTCAGACAGCAGCACAGGAGGACAGAAGGATACCATGGTCCAGGACAGTGACATCAAGAGCATCTCATGCTGTCCCAGATGAACAAGGATGAAATCTCAGGCACCATTCGGAATAAAGTAACAATATTCAGTAAAACTGAATATTGTTTGAGACTTGGAGAAGAGAGTTGAATAAACACCTTTCTACATATCATATCTTAATCACAGAATCCCAGAATGGTTTGTGTTGGAAAGGACCTTAAAGCCCATCTCATTCTACCCCCTGCCATGAGCAGGGACACCTTCCACTAGCCCAGGTTGCTCCAAGCCCTGTCCAGCCTGGCCTTGGACACTTCCAGGGATGAAACATCCACAATTTCTTTGCCAGGGCCTCACCCCCCTCTCGTTTATCTGTGTTTAACCTTACCCAGGTGCCCAGAAGTTCTGGGTCTCTCACAACTTCTGCTCTGCTGCTCCTGTTCTCTTTGGTCACGTTCTTTGCTTGATTGTTAACAGTGGGCAGAGAAGACCTGATGAATAAAGGTGACCACAGAGGGCTTCAGAGGACTCTGTTTTAATTAGTTTAGTTTAATTTAGTTTAATAGAAGCAAATGGTCACTGAGGCACTGAGCTGCTTTTAAGGTCAGACCTGCTTTATTTGCCTGAGTCTGGCCTCTTCCTTCATCAGAAATTATGTCAGGTGGAGTTGGAAGACTTTGGACACTTGCCTGTGGTCTCTGGCCATGCCCTAGGAATGCCTGGGATGCACAGAGCCACAGGATAACTGTGCTGGGAAGGATCTCTGGAGGTCTCTAGTCCACTCCCCCCCTTGATGAAACCAGGATGAACGAGAGCAGGATGTTCACTGTCAGGTTTGGAAAATCTCCAAGGATGGAAACTCCACAACCCCTCTGGACTGCCTTCTCCAGGATTTGAGCACTCCCACAGTGAAGAGGTTTATTCTTATGTTCCAGTGGAATTCCCCATATTTTGGATTGAGCCTGTTGCCTCCTGTCCTGCTCCAAGAAGAGCCTGGTTCCATCTTCTTCCCTCCTCCCACATCAGGTGCTTGTAGACATTAATAAATCCCCCAGAGCTTTCTCTTATTGAGGCTGAACAACCCCAAAATTTGCAGCAGAGGATTAACCTTCCCTGACATGTAAATATTAAACTTCAAATCTAAACCAGTTCACGCAGGACTCCTTTTACAGGAGACAAACAGACCCCAGTGGCACCTCAGCTCCCTTATCCTGCACATCTCAGGTGTGATTCAACTCCTATAAAAAGCTGTCAAATACCATTTGAGATGGTATCTGAGACATTTATATGGGACTGGCAGGTGTCACACAGGATTTACAAGGCACCAACATCCTTCTGAAAAGGCAGCTGGAGGCCAGGAGGGATATCCTGGGGATTCGATACGGATTCAGGAGAACAGAGCCTGCCCTAGGATGAGGCTCAGGAGGTTTGTGTTGAGGGAGGGGACAGCAGGGTGTGCTCAGCTGGATTCCATGTGTAAACCTGGCTTAGCTGTGGGTGGGCAAGGACTCAAAGCTGGTGTGAGGATCCCTGTGATGCTGGGGAGAACAGGAGCTGCCAGGTCAAATCCTCACCTCATCCATCACATCTGCTTCTCATCCCCAAGCCCGGCTGTGAGGGATGTGCTGAACTCCAATCCCAGCATTCCTTTGGGCAGCTAAAAACCTGAACAGCCTAGAAAGTGGCTTAAACTGTGCCAGGGGCTCCAGCAGCCCATGGAAACTTTGGTGATAGGGGTGTAAATTCCCACTGTAACAGTGCAAAGCTGAGCTCAAGCATGATGGGCCCCGAGGTGACCAAAATTCCTATGCTGTTAGCAACTAGAAGGTTTTCACTGTCAGTTTTATCTGTAAAAAGGGGATATAAAAGGTATCAGGGTGCTGGTACTTCCCCTTCTCTTTGCTCTGCAGCAGCAGGGGAGAACTGGGACAGTTTTTTATGTGACCAAAGTAAATGTGGTGCTTGTTTTCCTTCTGTGTTCCCAACAAGTGAGGAGCAAATACCCACGTCAGCCCTGACCCTACAGAGAAAACCTGCTCCTTCCCTGCCTGTCAATCACAGGGACTTGTAATTCAAAGTCCTGATGAAAAGGCAACTAGAGCTGTGAAACTGGGTGTTAGGAGAAAGCAAATTTAACCTTGTTTGTGGGTGTAGGACCAGACCCCTCTGCATTAGCAAGGATGATGCAAAGCACCATAAACGCTTTTAATGCATAAACTAAATTTCTCTTACTGGAGATGTAGAGAGGTTGGAATAAAAGCAGAAGCCTTTTGCTGAAGTATCACAGAATTGCTGAGGTTGGAAAAGACCTCTGAGATCATAGAGTCCAACCTTTGACCCATCACCACCTTGTCACCTGAACCGTGGCACTGGGTGCCACATCCAGCCTGTCCTTGAACACCAGGGATGGTGACCCCACCACCTCCCTGGGCAGCCTGTTCCAATGCCTGACCACCCTTTCAGTGAAGAAATTTTCCCAATATCAACCCTAAACCTCCCCTGGTGCAACTTGAAGCTGTTTCCTCCTGTCCTGTTGCTGTTACCTGGGGCAAGAGCCAGACCCCCACCTGGCTCCAACCTCCTTCCAGGGAGTTGTGGAGAGTCAGAAGGTCCTCCCTGAGCAGTTAAAAATGGGTAAAGTCACATTTTTGTTCAGGATGCTCATTTGTGCTCCCAGTTAGAATCATAAGGGGTTGGAATGGACCTTAAAGACCATCCAGTCCCAACCCTTTGCCATGGGCAGGGACACCTCCCACTAGACCAGGTCACTCAAGGCCTTATCCAACCTGAACACTACCAGGGCTGGAGCATTCACAGCCTCCCTGGGCGACCTGTGCCAGTGTCCAACCACCCTCCCAGTAAAAAATTTCTTCCTGATATCTCACCTAAATTCCCCCTCTTTCAATATGTCCCAATTCCTCCTCGTCCCATCACTGCAGTTCCTGATGAAAAAAAATCAATTCCTCTCCCCCACCACTGTGCCCTGAACTGGGAGCCCTGTTTCCTTCTCCTGACTCTTTCCTCCCACCTCTGGGATCATCCTGGGACTGGAGGGTGGTGGAGCAGAGCACTGAGTTTCCATTGCCCCCGTGTGATGGATTTGAGCTCTTAAGGAGGGATGATTTCCCTCTTGGCAAGCCTGGGATGAGGCTTGGAACAAGCTCCCTCCGTGTGTTTCACCCTTTAAGGGACAAGACATCCTTGACATGCCACATATCCTGATTTTTAGCTGCAGTGCCAGTGGCTTTCAGCTCTGGCAGACCTGTCAGCAGCTTTTTATGGTGCCTGCCTGTGCCAAGAGACATTTTTGTTTAAAATCCAGGGAAAT